AAAAGGAGGATTAGATCAACTCAGGAGGTACTGAGGAGTTTAATAAAAAAGGATTTGGCAGTTTAAATCAATGAGACAAGGAGAAAAAAAAAAAAGCTGCGTGGTTTACAGTGGTGATAGACATGGAATGGACCCCTCCCACTTCTGTGACACTGTATCTGTCTATGACCTTTGTTCTCCAGCATGACTAGTTATCTGGCTAACCATTTTGGTCAATTTAGTCAATATTTATTCATTGAACACTTTTTATGTAATACTAGGATTTTTGCCAGTTGCTAAATGAAATCCCTAGTCCCTGCCCTTAGTGAGCTCACAGTCTAATGCTAGAAACAGTCATATAAACAAGATAATATTGTGAAGAACTTATTGGTATAGCTACTACATAAAATTAGGATATAGACGTGCACCGAATTCAGCCCAGATGGGATCAGGGAAATATCCTCAGTTCTCTGTCTTGAAAAAGAGGTAGAAGCTAGCATGGTGAAGAAACTGAGAATGATGTTGTTGCTACAAAAAACAGCAAGTTCAAGGCAAGAGGTAAAGACCACGAAACTTCATGTAAGCTACTTGGTGAGCCTAAAACATGTCAGCATCTATCCCAAGAACAATTGGCTTGTCCTACCTAACCATAATATGATTATCACATTCTGATAACTTAACATTGGCCCAAAATAAGTATGTGATATCCAGTCCTTATTCAGATTTTTTTCCCAATTTTCCTGATAACACCATTTGCCACATTTTTACCACTCAGGAACTCATATATGTTGTTGTCAAGTCTTTTGGAGTCTTTTTCAATCAAAAGCAAGTTTCTAGCCTTTTCTTTCCCTCTCCTGACCCCTCTCTGTCTTCTTCTCTTAGTCTTTATGATTGTTATAGTTTCAGAGCCCAGGACAACTGAGTCATAGTATGTCTCTCACTTTGGAATTATGTGATTGTTTTCTTGGATTTAGAGTAAAAAAATGTGTAGTAAATATTTCTGTGCAAAGTGCTACACTGGTTATATTGTCCCACACTTAGGAGACAGTTGATGCCTGTGAATTCCATTATTGGTGATGTCAGATTTGATTGTTTGGGTAAGGTGATCGCCATCGGATTTCTCCATATCCCGTTGCCCTGCAGCCTTACATAACAACGGTTTTTACAACCATTGATGATTCTTGCTGAAATCATTTCTTACTCTGTGAGTTTTATTAAGGTGAATTTTCTGTTTCCCTTATGTCTTTGATACATATTAGCTGGCACTCTTCCATAAAGAAGAACTTTCCTATCCCCCATTTTTAGTACTATTTTTCTTTTAGGATCAGTGCGGATGATGAATAATTCTTTTTTTCCCTAATGTTTGATAATCTGTTCCCATCCTTATTTATGTGATGTTCAAATTGCCCCAGATGAGACCAAGGAAATCCTTCAGTCTGGCCCTTCTGTCCTTTCAGTATATCCTTATCTGTTTTAGATTTTATTTTCTGGCACAAGAATATTCTCCTGACATTTCCTACATTCTTAGCCTTGGTACTAGAATCGGGCATTCATCTTTAGTCAGTACTGGTTCTTAGAAACCAAGATCTGAGAGCTAGGTGTGCTCATCGATAGTGTTAGGTTGTTGTTCCTGAACTCTTTTGGTCTACAAAGCTTGGGAAAGTATTGTTTTTAAAAAACCTTGAGCTTATATTTATTCCTGTAAATCCAGTCCAATGCATAATAATTCTTTTTCTCCTTCTCCTATTCTATATCTTTATGTTCTTTTCCTCAGTGAGTGGTCCTGCTACAACACATCAACACATTTACCTGTCTGCTCAATCTTGTAATAGTTGCAGAATCACTGCATCAGTACCACTACAACAACAAATGTACTAAGGAGAAAGTTCAATTTTTTTAAGTTTTCTTTTTTTAATTTTTAAGTATATGCCACTGATGATATTCTAAATTTCCTTGGATTTACTTTTCTCCTCTTTCTTCATAATTAATTCTATGAGTGTAATAACATGTTTATTTGTTTCTGTTTGATTTTAGCTTTATGATTTTTTTAAAATTTTTTGGACAGGTTTTTGCTAGAGGGCGCGTGTGGTCGCCAGACAGACTGAGAGAGACAGAGAGACAGAAAGCGAGAAATCATCCCCGGGGGGGATGGCCATGCCGCAATCCCTTCTCCTCCATTCTCCTCTCAGGATCTTGGGCACACCCGCACACGTGCCCGGCGTGAGTTTTAAGCCACCGGGTTTGGGACGCGAACCATAGTCAACTACGTGGGAGTCCAGCAACATAGTCATTACACTAACTGCTGGTCCCCAGCTTTATGATTTTAATCTAAATCTTTAATCTCATTTTTTTTAACAACTATGAGATTAAAATATTCAATTTTTAAAACATGTCCTTTTATTAATGAAATACATTCACTATCTTAATATTTGGCATTACCTGTAGTTCTTTTTAGGAAAAATATAGTTAAATTTGAGTACTAATTTTCAGATATCTAGTTACTTATGAAGCTGTCTAAAATATTTAATGTACTTGAATTAAAATAGCCATTGAGCTACTATAGAATTCAACTTACATGTAAAATAACAATCTCCAAATAGTCTATTTTTCACCCACCTTTTTTGATAATATCTATAAAATTTAGTACTCTTCTAAAAATATGCAATAAAACCTAATGGAAAAAGGACTGATACATATTTATAAATATTATTATAAGCTGTAAATGAGTATATTATTTGTACTATAGTGCATTCGATTGTCAAATATTCTCTATAAAGGGATTGTGTCCCCAAAACAAAACCAAAAGAAAAAGGAAAACAAATTTAAAAATGCAAAAGAAAATAACTTTCTATTATTTTGGACATAACACTATACCATTTACACAATTACATAGGAAGTACTTCCAAATAAACTATCAAAGAGGAAAAAAATAAAAGCCCTAGCATTTTCTTGAATTTGGAATGGAACAGTAGTTTCTTTGAAGCTTTTTGTCTCACTTCTTATGAATAATATTTACTACTGGTAAATATAAATACCTATGAATTGTACAAGGATAATCTGTTATTTGAGAGAGAATTGACATTCTTCATCCTACATCCTTCATTAGTTATATACAGAATGTCATTTTAAAATAATCGTAATACGATCTTGGGCACACCCGCACACGTGCCCGGCGTGAGTTTTAAGCCACCGGGTTTGGGACGCGAACCATAGTCAACTACGTGGGAGTCCAGCAACATAGTCATTACACTAACTGCTGGTCCCCAGCTTTATGATTTTAATCTAAATCTTTAATCTCATTTTTTTTAACAACTATGAGATTAAAATATTCAATTTTTAAAACATGTCCTTTTATTAATGAAATACATTCACTATCTTAATATTTTTCATTACCTGTAGTTCTTTTTAGGAAAAATATAGTTAAATTTGAGTACTAATTTTCAGATATCTAGTTACTTATGAAGCTGTCTAAAATATTTAATGTACTTGAATTAAAATAGCCATTGAGCTACTATAGAATTCAACTTACATGTAAAATAACAATCTCCAAATAGTCTATTTTTCACCCACCTTTTTTGATAATATCTATAAAATTTAGTACTCTTCTAAAAATATGCAATAAAACCTAATGGAAAAAGGACTGATACATATTTATAAATATTATTATAAGCTGTAAATGAGTATATTATTTGTACTATAGTGCATTCGATTGTCAAATATTCTCTATAAAGGGATTGTGTCCCCAAAACAAAACCAAAAGAAAAAGGAAAACAAATTTAAAAATGCAAAAGAAAATAACTTTCTATTATTTTGGACATAACACTATACCATTTACACAATTACATAGGAAGTACTTCCAAATAAACTATCAAAGAGGAAAAAAATAAAAGCCCTAGCATTTTCTTGAATTTGGAATGGAACAGTAGTTTCTTTGAAGCTTTTTGTCTCACTTCTTATGAATAATATTTACTACTGGTAAATATAAATACCTATGAATTGTACAAGGATAATCTGTTATTTGAGAGAGAATTGACATTCTTCATCCTACATCCTTCATTAGTTATATACAGAATGTCATTTTAAAATAATCGTAATACCATGTAGTCCTTTAGGTTTTTTTGTTTGTTTGTTTGTTTGTTTTTCCGCTATAGGGCGCATGTGCTCGCCAGACAGACAGAGAGAAACATAGAGACAGAAAGCGAGAAATCACCCCCCAGGGGGATGGTCACACCGCAATCCCTTCTCCTCCATTCTCCTCTTGGGATCTTGGGCATGCACACACACGCGCCCGGTGTGAGTTTTAAGCCACCGGGTCCGGTACGTGAACCACGGTCGACTACGTGGGAGTCCAGCGACATAGCCATTACGCTAACTGCTGGTTCCCCACCCCTTAGGTTTTTGAGAGCCTCTTTGGATTTATTTATCATACAAAGAAACAGTTCAAACATTCTTTAATATTTTGTTGTGATTGCTCTGTGTCACCTAAAGTCAGGGGACGATTATCCTCTGATATGAAAAGTCAATTGTTGGGAGCATGTTCACAAAAGTTAGCATGGAAATGTAATTTTGTACAATAAGTTTAGACAGCAGAATCTCAATAACAGCAACAAAAACTCTCCTACACCTGGTCGATTTTAGAATAGAGACTGATGCTTTGAAAATAACTGATTTCTACAAGGGAAATGTGATTTATGATAACCCCAGACACAGAGCTGGGTAGAACCACATTCCATTTAAAGTTATTGTGCAGTTGGACTATAAAATCAGCGTACTGAAGTGAATCAGTGGAACTGAGTCCTCTTTAGTGGTCAGTAGCACAGGCACTAATGAGACAGATTTCATTAAAAGATAGTTGATTTACAGGAGAATTAAAATCCTATCTTGTTTTGAAATTACTGGCTTTGTCCTGGCACCTGATCGCCTCCCCACCCCCCCATCACCATCACCATTTTCTATGTATGCTTTGACATTGCTATGGAAACCCCCAAGGCTGATGGAATTCCCTGTGTCTCTTTTCACAGAGGGTGATGAGACAGGAGTGATGGATAGTCTGCTGGAGGCTTTGCAGTCAGGAGCTGCCTTCCGCGACAGAAGAAAAAGGACACCGAAGCCGAAAGGTGAACACTATACTTGTTTCATGTTACTTTCTAGGGAACTATCACAGAGAGGAATGCTTTCCCCGCCCCCCCCCAATTCTTTTAAAGTCATGTGTCAAGAATGCAATGCTGTGGGCAACAACTGTTCAGAAGTTTCATAAGTTTGCTTAATCCCTTGCAAAGACAAATGTCAGACAGATATGCATTCCAGTTGGTCGATGTTAGTAGCACATTAACAAATCAATTCACTGAACCTAGAAAATCCTGATTAGTGTGACAAGTCTCATCTAAAAAGCCATATGTACCTTATCCCAGTAGAGTTTACAGTAGCATAATTAAATGGGAAGTAAAAGTCATAACATTACTGCTTTAAGTATTTCAGGGTACTGAAGCATTGCTTAGCTTCCAGAAATACTTAACCTTGGAAAAAAAGTATGTCTGATACTGTTACATTTCTCGAGATGAACAAACCTTTATATTAAGTTTCTTTTATACATTTTTTTAACAGATATTCGTCAAAGTCTCAGTCCAATGTCCCAGAGGCCTGTTCTGAAAGTTTGTAACCATGGTAATAAACCATATTCATAAATTGCACATTCTTCTTATCTACTTTCATCCTGTTGATCTGTGATTTTGGTAGACTGCTGTGAAGTTCTTAAGTTTTAATATAACTAAAACAGTAAAAATGTATGGATGTACATAGTTGCTATGAGAATATGTGCTCATATTTTCTATCCTTAAATTATTACCTTGAGGTTGTGTCTTAGGTTCTTCTTTCAAGTCTCCAGTGTATAATATTATCATTATTAGTAGTAATAGTATCAGAAGTTACCTTCACACATTTCTGATTAGAGTTATCCAGTGCACCCTTTCACAAGCAGGGTACTATTATAATACTTTTAAGTAGTGGATATACTGTAGTTCAGGAGCTAGTTTGAAGTATTGAATCTGTTACCTATTCTACCACAGTTTCCAATATAGTTAGAAATACTTAAACCAGAAGTGGTTAAGGTGGTTGGATCCCACATGGCCAACCACAGAATTTAAATACCGAACTGGGCAGCTTGATAAACATGCCAGACACAGGGGGGTGTAAGCCCAGAATCCTGAAAGAAGGGAAAGATGAAGAGGAAGAGATTGTGGCATGACCGTGCCCCGTAGGGGGAGCTTTCTCACTTTCCCTCCCTTGCTGCCCATATCTCCCTAGCAAGCACATACACCTTCTGGAAAATTAAAAAATACTTAGACCAGTATTTTGGCAAAATTGTAAAACATGTTCATAGATTAGCTTCATGTGATATTATTGTGGGAAAATGTGCTAAAATCACAAAAAGAAGATGAATTAATTTAATTTCTGGCTTTATATGAGACCAGCTCCTTTGAAAAGTCCCTAATCAACCCTGTGTGCCCAAACACACGGAGCCCTCTTGCTCTGTTCAGGGTGCTATATCTTGTTGATTTGAATTTTATTTACATTGGTTCCCTTTATCTCTGTTTTGTATATTATGGGGTTCTCCTTATATTCCATAGTCAAAAACACACCAATCCATTGTGAATGCCATTTATTCCGGTTGTTACCAAAGTTTGCCAAGTTTATTAATGGAAAAATATTTGATGGATTTCATCAAGTATTTTTTCTTGATACTGATAAGTTCTGAAAGTATTAATGTGTGACTGAGAGAGAAATTTCTGCCAGATTTTTAAGGTAACCTAAAATAATTGTGAGGTTAAATTAAAAAAAAGACATGGATGTATCATTTCTTAATAGTTGTGTGGATCCTCCCTGCTCCAGGTAATGTATATATAGTGGGTACCTAATAAAAGAGAAAAAAAGTAAAAATCCGCAGCAGTATTTTAAATATGTCTTTGTAAACTTTTTTTTTTAGTATGCTCTTGATCTTTTCTGCCTTTCTCTGTTCTAACAATAGTAGAAAAGAGTCAGAATCAGTTAAAGAGAAGTAATTGTGGATAATTATATAATTCCTGGCTTTGGGCTTAGTATTTAGAGCCACTGTGGTATACTGAATCATGGTGAAAGTGTAGCAAGTTGAACTATCCTGGACCACAGAGATTATTTTGCTTTGTAGATAAATAATGGAAACCCACAGAGGCTTAAAACGTCCCAAGAGTTCAGAGCTAGTTAGTGACACAACTATGACCATAATACAGTTTTAATTCCTATTCCACTTTCTATATGATTACATATTGGTACTTCATTTTTTTTTTAATGATTGTTAATAAGAACAGTTATTAAAGAAAAGAACCACAAGGCTAGCACATGGCTTGGTGGTTGGGGTGCTGGATTCCCACACAGCCAAATGGGCAGTTCTAATCTCGGACCTGGCAGTTTGAAGATCATGCCATGAGCGTGTGTGTACATGCCCAAAATTGTGACATAGGGTGGAGAAGAAGGGACTGTGGCATGACCATCCCTCCTGGTGGGGTGATTTCTCACTTATCCCCCCTCTCTCAAACAAGCATATGTACCCTATGGCAAAACCTTTAAAAAAAAGAAAGCACAGCCAAACACAATGATTGTGAAATGATTATAATGGCATGTCTATCAGATGCTTATTTTAAATAAATATTTTAAATATAACCTAGGGGTAAATTACTTAAGAAAACTTTGTATGCTGGCCTTAGGGAACCCAGTCTTTCTGTGACTGTGATGTTACTAAAATGTCTGGGATAATGATAACTCAGCTGTGATTACTTATAAATTGTGGTATTTCTGTTCATTATCTCAAAGCAGACGAGCATTGCATTTCTGTAAAGCTAATATGTACTGTCTTAAGTTCTAAGGCTATTATGATAATTAAGCTGGTAGATTATACAGCAAGCCAAAGGATATATATCACAAAGATCAAATTCCCTTCTCTAATATAAATATAATAGATTAAAGCATTTTTAAAATAATTTTCAACTGATGTTATTATTGTGTTTTTCCTTCACATTTCTAACCAAGTAGAAGGAAATCCTGGTAACCAAATTTAGCTCTAATAATTGTGTGTGTAGAGATACATTTTTTAGACTAAATGGTGAAAAATGGTGGACCTGGGTAAAGAAATTTCTTTATTGTGGAAAGGGTCATGATTATTTCTAAAATAAGATATTTCAGAGTTCATTTTGCAATCTGTTTCTAAAACTTCATGTTTTTGTTGAAAATACTGTACAACTGAATTATTGGAGTAGTAATGTTGAAATTACTATTTTTTATTAGAATTTGCTTCTTTGTACTTCAGTGTCTGACACTTATATTTTCTAGAAGTACATATTTGTTGCTATAGACCTTATAACCTGTTTTTAAAAGATTTATAAGATTTTCTACAATTACTTAAAATTTGTTTATATCCAAGGTAATAACATTATTAATAGAATTATTAATAATAAGCTAAGGGCCAACCCATAGCACTGTGATTAACCCTTTATGTAAGAAGCCAGAGACCACATGGCTAACCGCAGTTTCAGTCTTGGCTCTGGTGGCTTAAAAGACACACTAGGCAAACATGTGTGTACTCAAAATCCTGACAGGAGAGAGAGATGGAGGAAGGGGATTATGGCATGACCATGCCCCTTTGGGCGGGGGGTGCTTTCTCTCTCTCTCTCCCTGTCTCTATGGCAAGCTAAGTATCCTCTGGAAATCAAAAAAAGAGAGAGGGAACAGCAGATGGCATACTGGTTACGTCGCTGGACTCCCACAGTATACCGTGGTCAAGTCCTGGATCCGGCAGCTTGAAACATGCCAGGCGTGTGTGCTTGTGTGCCTAAGATCCCAAGAGGAGAATGGAGGAGAAGGGATTATGGCATGGCCATCCCCCCGGAGGAATGATTTCTCTCTTTCTGTCTCTAGGTCTCTCTCTGTCTCTCCAGCAAGCGCATCTACCCTGTAGCAAAAATCTCATTCTAAAAAAAAAAAAAGAGAGAGACAGAGAGAGAGAAAATAAAATAATTCGCAATGTTTACTGAGTTATTTGGCTTACTAAGTGCCAAGCACTGTTCTGAATATTTTAGATATATCTTCTCATTTAATCTTCTTAATCCTATCAGATTGTTAGTGTTTTTATCTCCATTTTATAGTTGAAAGGACAGGCCTTGTGGTCATATAGCCAAGTTTGACCCCAGGCCTCTGTGACTTCAAAGTCAGTTCACAACCTCTTTGCCATGTCATACTCTGAATACAACTGCTGGAGTTAGTATCTAATCCCCTTTCCTTTCAATAGCTGGTGACTCCTGTATACTTTTTTTTTTTTTTCTCTTGCAATATAAAGTTGAACTACTGACAAACAACCTTTTGGAGGTTCTCCAGTCTCTGGTGTGCTTCTTCTCTTGTTCCCAGATGTAACCACTAGATAGCACTATTTTCCTAGTCTGAGACTTGGATTACAAGGATAATCTTCAGGAATTAATTATGACAGCTTTTTATTTATTTAAATAAATGTATGCCCCGTTAGACTTATGACAGAATATTTAGGTAAAAAAAAAATGTGTTTATTCAAAGCCAAATTTAAGTGTATTGACTGCAATATTAATCTTTTATTTTTCTGTCTTTTTTTGTCTATGTATTTTCTACTCCTTGTGCCATTTATATCATAGCTATAGTTCCAAAGTTTTTAGATTTCTTTCTGTATATACATAGAACATCTTTTATTTCAGAATAAAAAATAACTTAGTAATGTATCCTCAGGTACCTGGGACCAGTATATGATATGCAATATATATTTTGGCAAACAGACCTCAACTATTCTAATTCCACTTCAGAAGGAAAGAAATCATATACATTCATGCATAATTCAGTCCTGGTGCTTTACTCTAAATCTCTGCCAAAAAAGTGCTTTGGTCATGATTTTTACTTGTGTTATCTTTTGATTGGTCTGTTAAAACCTAGGCAGAAACTACATATTTGATGTGTTTTTTTAATTTAAAAATTTTTTTTTTGCAAAATCTTCACTTATTCAGCAAAATTTACTAAGCACTTGTTAGGTAGATGTAGAAATGCCCTCCAAGAATGTACCATTTAGTGCAAGATAGACCATTCATAATTTCTATACAGTTGATAAATGCCAGGATAGAGATTAGTACACAAAGTCTTGGTAGACCTTAAGTCAAAAAGACTGGTCCAGACTGCAAGACTAATCTAACTGTGGCTTCTAGAAGGACCTGATATCTGAGGTGCATTTTGAAGAATGAGTAGAAATGAAGTCAAAAACCCAAAAGCCTAGATGAACCAAAAAGCAGTAGCAACAGCAGCAGCAGCCTGTATGTACTTTCTGAGGAGGTCCTTTCTGAACCCTAGCCTGGACCTTGTAGAACTGTGCACTCTCATAACTCTCCAGTCTTTCTGGTTTACATATTCACTGTCCTTAAAATTTTCTTACTCAGGTGCATACTCGAGTTCTGTCAAAGCAGGGACAAGGCAATGACGATGGAAATCTATTTCCTACTGTAACTTCAGTACTTAGCTAGCTAAGTTAGTTCCTGGCACATCGGTGTTTAGTAAGACTGTGTTAAATAAACAGGAATGTTTATGTTTCAGCTTGATTGAAACAATTAATGTATCCTGAGGAGCAA